CTTTGGATTTAGCAATACAGTTTGCATAGCATTTCATAAAAAGGCTCTGCTACCAAAAGACAGAGAGAGAGAAAGAGAGAAAGAGAGAGAGAGAGAAAGAGAGAGAAAGAATGAGAGAATGGAAAAAATGGAAATAAAGCTTTTGTAAATAAGAAGAAATGGAGTGTCTTAGCTATTTTTTTTTCTCATTGCTGAGACATGTCTGACACCCAAAGTTGAAGGGGAAAGGTTTATTTAGCTCACAGTTTGTAGAGGTTTTAGTCCATAGTCAGCTGGTTCCAAGGCAGGGAGACACAGCATACAAGTATCTCAGAAGAGGGTAGAAGGTATGACCATAGGTCTTTTTATCCCCTTATTTTATCCAGGCCACTTAGGATGGGTAGCACTCACACCCTTAATGCCAGTGCCCTTGATCCTAGTGTTGCACTGTGAATCAGTCTCAGCATCACACACTGTAGATCCAACCAATCTGAAAAACCCATATCTATGACCACATGAGGCTTTGGGGGGACATCTATACCCACACAATAACAAGGATTTGAAGGGGAAAAGAGGCTTGGGGAAAAAGAATCAATATCATGTACAGATACAGATTCCCTATGATGAATGTGATCATTATGTATATCTAAAATGTAACAATAAATTGATTTTAAAAAATATGTTGTTCTACAAAAGTATATTAACTAGCATCCTCCAGCTTCATCATTGAATGCAGAATTTATATAACACTTGAAAGATTTCCCTTCTTTTGAGTCTTTCGGGACAGTATGCCAGTTGTGATATTGGAGGAGTACCAATAAATATCACCCATCTTTGAAAACTGAATTTGCACCAATGAAAAAGACAAAGGAACCAGGAGTGGTGGCACACTCTTGTAATCCCAGCACTTGGGAGGCTGAGGCAGGCAGATTGTGGCAAGTTCAAGACCAGCCTGTGCTACAAAGTGAGCCCAGGTCCAGCATAGTGAACTGCATAGTGAGACCCTGTCTCAAAAAGACAAAAAAAAAAAAAAAAAAAAAAAAGACAAAGGAAACAGTAGGTGGGAACCAAAATATCACCTTCATTACTAATAAAACTGTGGTTATAGTGTGGTCTAAGTCTGCTGGCAAATGGGCTTATTAATGGTGACTCCCAATGTAGTATTAGACTCAGTCAATCAACTTGACCAATCAACTTCTCTCCCATCAATTGACCTAATTTGACCTTGTGACAGCCCCAAATGTGCTCTTTTGTGTGTTTGAAATTTGTTATGATAAAATTTCTGGACCTAGCTATGCTCTGCAGCTCTGTCAGAGATGAGGCATGAGGAGAAGAGACTGGGTCCACAGGGCAGAGCCTCCTTGTGTCCTGACCTCCAGAACGGGTTAGTTATCAAGCGTGCGTTGTTAGGAGAGCAAGTCTTCCCCTGGTGTCTTCTCTTGCACGTGCTGCCCCTTCACTTTCGGCCACGTGATGAAGCAAGACGCCCTCGCCAAATGCTGCCACTAAGCGCTGGACTTCACAGCTGTATGCACTAGATAAGCTTTTCATTACAAATGATTCAGTTTGTGGTATTCTCTTATAGCACGAGAAAATGAAGTAAGGTATAATTTCAATTTTTTTTTTCTTTTTGGGGGTGCTGAGGACTGAATCCAGGGGTGCTCTACCACTGAGCTACATCTCCAGTTCTTTTCTAAGTTGCCTGGGCTGGCCTCAAACTTGTTACCCTTCTGCTTTACCCCTCCAAGTAACTGAGATTACGGACACGCACCACCATGCCTGCTGAATTTTTAAATTAAAATGGGTAATGTCTCCCAAGAGGAAAAACAGAAGAGAGAAATGAATTACACATACCCGATTTTTCCTTCAAAACCTACCAAATGACTTAAGTAATTAAGAAATTAAATTACTCATCAGATAAGTTTACCCTGAGAAAGATAAATGAAATGAGAGTCCCAAGGCCAGCATGAGCTGTAGCTGCTGCTACCATTTGGATCCTGTGTTAAAGGCTTGGACTCCAGCTGGTGGGGCCTTTACAATGTGGGGTTTAGTGGGAGGTCTCCAGGGCTTCAGGGCTGGCTCCTCACAGGGGATCTCCAGCTGTCTTTTTCACTTTCAGACCATGAGGTGAGTAGCTTTTTGCTCTGCACCTGCTCCCTGCCATGATGTGCTGCCTCACCGCAGGTCCAAAAGCAACAAGGTCAACTCACCACAGACTGAATCCTCCAAAACCATGAGCCAAGCAAAACCTTTCTCTTTATAAGTTGATTGTCTCGTGTATTTGTCACAGTGATGAGAAGGTGACTAGTACAGTTAGAAACAATAGAGCTGAGGAAGTCACTGTCTTCCATTGATTAAATTCTAAACAGCACCCTGTGCCTGTTCCTTCTTCATTGTCCTAAGAGAGGTAGAAAATAAGAACAAAAACATAGGAGGATACAGATACAAATTCTCTAGGATGACTGTGGTCATTATGTATATCTAAAATGTACCAGTAAGATCTGATTGAAAAAGAAAAATAAGGGGCCGAGGATTTAGCTCAGCAGCATGAGTGCCTGCCTTGCAAGCATGCAGTCATGAGTTCGATCCCCGGTACAAAAAAAAAAATAAACCACAGGAAGAGATCTCTACATGCACAGGCATGTTGGATCTTCTAGCTTGACTTTTAGTCACCTGCCCCCTACTCAAACATCATTATAGGTTCATGAATATGTACTACATGTCATGTATGTCATTAAGACCAGAGTGAATTTTGGGACAAGCATGCATGTTCGGAACCCCTAACATGACTCCAGGGCTGTCCATCATAGCAGAGGTTCAGGGGTGGGCACTTGGGCTGGGGTACATATTCTTTAAATTCTGAAAGCCTGACTTACAGTGGCTGTGTTGCTTTTTCAGTGTCCTATTGATTTAGGGGAAATGCTGTTCAAATACTCTGAGTTCATGTTCCCCGTGAGTGAATTCTAAGGAACAATGGAGGTTAAGAGTAGGAAAATTTATCAGAAAAGGGATAGGGAACAGGAACAGCACCTGAGTAATAGGGAGATTCCCAAATGAGTTGCCAATGAGCCTACTTCTCAAGCAAGTTTTACAGAGCAAAATCATGGTGGATACGATGCAGGTCAATATTGTGATTAACCAATCAGATTTTTAAGTATAGTTGGTTAGGTAACATTGATCCAATGGTAGCAAGGGTTCATGGATGACATCATTTACCTTGGTCAATAATCTACGGTCTTAGTCCTAGTTTTAATAGGTGGGAGAGGATGGCCCAGCCCTAACGAGATAATAGGAAATCTCAAAAGGGAGATACCAATAATCTCCACCTTCTGTTTATCTCCTAGCCATTGTGATTTTAATCTTCAGGCGCACCTCCAGCCACAGTCCTGAGGGACTGCAGTGCCTTTACTTTTCTGTCACCCTGCACCATTTTTCTGTCTGTCTTACCATTTGGTGGCACAGACTTCCCCTGAATACAGCTTCCCGTGACCTTCAATAAAGGTAGCTACTTGCCACTTGCCACCCGGTGTATACTTGCAATTTATTGCTTGTCAAACACAAGAGCACAAGAGCGGGGACTACTTGCCCCTTTCATGGTAACATGACTAAGACAGCTAGGAAATAAACTGCTCTAAAATGCAGAGGCTTACAACCACAGCTACCCTGTATTTATGACAAGGGATGTCAGTTTCCCATTTGATGTAGTAATATTATAAATTTTATTTATTTTTGTCCTTTTGAAACAGGGTCTTGTTATGCAGTTCAGGCTGGCCTTGAGTCCACTTTGTAACCCAGGTTGGTCTCAAAATCCTAACAATATTCTTGCCTCAGTCTCCTGAGTGCTGGGATTACAGGAGTGTGCCACCATGCCCAGCAGTAATATTATTTAAGTAAATGTTTAAAAGAAGCTAGTTTAAATGAAAAATGAGCTGATTTTAAGAAACCACTTAAGTATACTACACCCATGGTAAACAAAGTGTGGTAAAGAGGCTGAGATAGGAGGATGGAAAGTAAAATCCTATCTTGGTTAATATAGCAAGATCCTGTCTCAAAATAAAGTAAAATACGGATATAGCTATGAATATGGCTTATGGTATCATGCCCCTGGCTCTGAACCCCAGGATCAAAGCAAAACAAAACAAACAACCAAGACATGGTAAAACTTTGTGGCAAAAGTAAGAACAGTTCTTCAATAACTGAAATTTGAAGAATATGGTTCTAGTTAAAAAGACTGTTTAAAAGATAAATATTTAGCTGGGTGAGTGGCACATGCCTGTAACTCTAGCATTTGAGAAGCTGAGGCAGGAAGATTGCTGTTGAAGGTCAGCCTGAACTGTATAGTAAGATCCTGTCTCAAAAATACATACATACATATGTACATACATACGTACGTACCACGAAACCTTCAATTGACCCACACACTCCTGCAGCTAGATCCTATTTTCACACTCCCTCAAGCAAAGCTTGGGGAAAGTGTGCATAGGTCCTCATCTCCAACTCACTGCTGTGACTAATCCAGTCTGACCGCTGAGTCGATTCTCTAGTGACGCTGCTCCCCCAGCGAGCTCCATAGCCAAGTCCTGTGGACATCGCAGGCCACATCGTCCATGGCCTCCCAGCAGCACATGACCACTGCCTCCCTTCTGAAACTCCCGTTTTCTTTTTTTCTGTCGACTTTGATTTCCTGTTTGCCCTCTACCTCTCTAGTTCCTCCTCCTCACAGTTATAAAAGCGCCTCAGGACCAATTCAAGGGCTTCAAGTATCATCTGTATGGAGATACTGGCAATTCTACCTGCGGCTCAGCCTGACCTCTCACCGTGGACCCAGTCAGTCGGGTCCTGCACCTGCCTGGCCCAGCGGCCTCCAGCTTCACAGGACAGGAAGAACTCCTGATTCTGTCCCCGTAAATGGCATCATCACCTTAACCAAGCTCCCGTAGGAGACAGTCTTGGCTCTTTCTTTCCTTTACTTCTAAAATCAGTCTATCACTAAGCTTTTAAATTTTTGTTTTGTTTTGTTTTTTTCAGACAGGGCATCACTGTGAAGTTCAGGCTGGCCTCAAACTCACAGCGATCCTCCTGCCTCAGTCTCTTGAGTGCTGGGATTACAGGTGCGTACCACCACACCCTGCCACCAAGTTTTAAATTTTACCCAAAACTCCAGAATGCGATCAATGCTTTTTGCATCTCTTCTGCCACCAGCATGGCCCAAGCTAAGCCCACCGCCACTGGACACAGCGCCAGTCTCCTTTCTTGATTCAATTCCATTCCTCCTGCCCCCAATCACTTTCTTCACATAAAGACTGCTATACAATATAAACCAGCAGCTTCCTCTCAGTCTGGAAAAATGTTAGACTATGTGTGATAATGTGCATGACGAGGAAGCCCTTTGGATCTGGCCACCAGCCCTTTTTCTCATGTTTCTGTCTCTGTCTCTCAGCCCCCGTGACTTCTCTGTTTCTGGTTTCCAGTAGTTGTCTGCTGAAGACCTTTGCTTGTGCTATTAGTCTGCCTTGCATATTCTCTCTCCCAGATTTGTCCCCAGCTGTTTTTTTTCCTCTCAGCATTCATGTCTTAGCCTCAATGACTCCTTCCCAGAGCATCTATCTTGACCGTTTGTCATGGTTGTGTCTAGATGTCCTCCAAGAGCTTCATTCACTCATGGGCAAGGCTTTAGCAAGAGGACTGGATCGTGGCGACGCTGCAGCTGATTCGCTGTTAGGAGGTGGGTTCTGGTGGGCGGAGCAGGTTACTGGGGTTTGATCTGGAAGAGTTTATCCCCCTTCCTGGCTCCTCACTTCTCTCCCTGCTTCTTGGACACTGTGACAGGAGCAGCTTTCCTCTGCCCAGAGCCTTTTGCCATGACATTTCTGTGTTGAAGCTGCCAGACATGGATTGGAACCTCTGAACTCTGAACCGACCATAGAGCTCTCTCCACCTTTAAGTTTCAGGTGTTGGGTATTTTGTGCAGCCAATGAGGAAAGTGACTAAGACACTATCAAACAGAGGCTTCCCTGGAGGCGACCCCATTACTTTGTTTTCTTCATAGCACGCACAGCAGGCTCTAAATACCTTGTTTGTTTACTTCTGTACTTGTTTGTTATCATACAGTCCATGAGGGCAAGGAGACCTTGTCGCAGGCTCCCCTGTTGTATCCCCATTGCTGAAAGTAGCATCATACCCATAGCAGGTCCTCAACAAATCCCTGTTCACTGTAATGAATGAGAGGGGGACTCGAACAGGGAGGATCTTACCAGCTCTGATTCGTGGGGACATATTCAGGGATTTTAATCAAAGACACAGTGATTAGATCTGGCCATTCTAAAAGGTTGGTTTGGAGCTGGGCTAGGGCTGAGGCTGGGGCTACCACTCAGCTGTACAGTGATTGCCTGCCATTTCAGAGCCCATGGGCTCAATCCTGAGCAATGCAACAGCACAACAATGACAAAAGGATCAACCTGCTGGTGGTGAGAAAAAACAGATTGGAAGGGCACTCAGGAAAACTATTGCAGTGGTCTGGGAGAATGATAATACAATTAAATTAATAACATGTGCAAAGCCCGTGGCACTTCATTATATGGAATAGAGGAGGAAGTGTAGCAAGCAAGCAAGAAATAAGGGTCTGAGAGACAGAAGGGTTTTGTATCCCGAGACCCTTTGAGCTGCCTATCTTGTCTTCCTGTGACAAATACCAGAATTCCTTATGCTTTTCAGGTTGGTTTTTTATGTTAATAGTTTATCTTGAGTTAACTATTCATTACTCTTCCCCTATCATCGGGTGTTGGGAGCTGCGGCCGAGCCCGGTCGCCTTACTTGGCGGACATGAGGCCTGTAGGAAGGAGCAAAGCCTGAGCTAGATTACCCCTCCCATCGAGTGTGCTAAGATGGCGCTTATCTCCTGCTTCCTGCTTGGTAAACAACCCGCTCTGTAAGATAGTCTGCCTAGCAACAACTGATGTTAGCCAATCAGCCCGCATCGCGCGCTTTGAACTGATTGGCCACTGTAACCCTATAAAAGTGAGTGCCTCTCCCGCCACGAGAGAAGAAGCACGGAAGGAGCCACGGAGAGCGGACCGGTAGAGGCTTCGGGACAGACTGTAGAGAAGAAGCACGGAAGGAGCCGCGGGGAGCGGACCGGTAGAGGCTTCGGCCGGGAAGAATCCCGGGGCAGACTGTACGGAGAGGGAAAATAAAGAAAGCCCAGCCACTGCCAGATCTTGTCGTGTGTTCTTCCTGCCGGCCGGGAGCGACACCGACAATCGGGAAGACAAGAATTCCAGAGAGAGAGACCAGGAAGCCTCTCATTAATTGTGTGACTCTGTCTATTGTCAGGATGTTGAATAAATGTGAAGAAAATATTTTTAGGGACTGGGAATTTAGCTCAACGGCACAAGTGTCTGCTTGGCAAGCGTGAGGTTGTGAGGTCTTTGGTCAATCCCAAAGATCAAAAAGAAAAAAAATATTTATAGAAGGCTGAGACAGGAGGATTGCCATGAATTCAAAGCCATCCAGGGCTACATAGTAAGTTCAAACTGCACAGTAAGTTCTGAATTGCATAGTGAGACCGGTTTCAAACACACACACACACACACACACACACACACACACACACACACACACACAGAGTTATCAACCCATCAGCAGGGGAAAGTGAGGGGAAGGTAGCGTTACTGGAGACCTGCAGCAGTTGCTAAAACTGCAGACAATACACACTCACAGCCAAGGCACCACCAAAAAAGAAGTCCAGCTTTTCCTTTGTTCTGCCCTCCAGCCTCCTCCCCTAGCAGGAAGTCACCTCTCAAGGGATCCTGGAAAACAGTCTGCAGAGGAAGGACAAAGGATGATTCTGAGCCATGGATTATTTTTATTCTTATTTTTATTTTGAGACAGGGTCTCACTATGCAGTCTAGGCTGGTCTCGAACACATTGTGTAGCCCAGGCTGGCCTTGAAGTCACTACTTAGCCCAGGCTGACTTTGAACTTGCAACAGTCTTTCTGCCTCAGCTTCTCAAGTGCCAGGATTATAGGCATGTGCCACCATGTCTGGTCTGTTTCATTTTTTTGTTTTTATTTTGAGACAAGTTCTCACTAAGTTTCCCAAGGCAGGACTCAAACTTGTAGTCCTCCTGCCTTACAGTGCTGGGATTACAGCTGCATGCCACTGAGGCAGCTATTATTTTCTTCAAGGTCTTTTTTGGTCATAAAGTTATCAGAGTTTCTTCTAGATCTTAGCCAACCCCTGAGATATCCAGAGTTGAGTGCTTATTGATTAATTGATTCATTGCCCTCAACATACACATATACATAAATGCTTAGCCTCTTTTCTCTGAAAGCTGACAGCTCAAGCCTTGCAAAAGTTCCCCCAGGGCCAAAGGCAGCACCGCCTTACCCAAGATTCAGGGACAAGGAAGGTATATTACTCGGGTATCTCTTGTGAATAGGCTGCCTCAGCAACTTTAAAGGTTCCAAAGAATACATGTTATGAGCTGGTCGGTGACATCATAGAGCAAAAAGGAGGGTCCCAGGAAGTTCAGGAGTGGACTCAAAAAAGTCACATCACTGGATCATTCACACAGTCCTGGTGGGGAGTGCCAGGAAACGGCCTCATCCACTTTTCAAGCTGCTTCCTGGCAAGCTGGAAGATATCCACTTGCCTTTGGGACACATCCCATAAATGTGCCCTGGGGGAGTGAAACCCTTGGAATTTTACTACCAAAAATGGGAAGAAAAGCTCTATCAGCTAGAAAGACACAGAATTTAACCTTGGACCAAAGCAAATATATCTATTTTGAAAAATTTCTAAGAAGGGTTGAATATTGTGGAATTCTTCCTAATATACAAAGATCTATTCCCTAAATTCATTCCTACAGCAAATATTTATGGATAGTGGGTTGGCAAATAAATCAGGCAATGCATTTTGTAGCAAAACAAAACTGTGTTGAACTGTGGCTTTGCATTTACCCTAGCTGTGTGACCAAGGTAGACCAAACCTCAGGTTCTCATCTATGACAAAGGAATTAGGGCTCTCTTGAATACTAGAAAGAGATTGCACACGCAAGTTCTTAGCGTGCAAGCAAGACAAAGAGGTACATACCTATAATTCCAGCTTTCGGGAGGCTGGCGCAGGATGATCATGAGTTTGGGCCCATTTGAGTTACATGGTGAGTTTAAGACTGGCCTCAACTACATAGTGATACTTTATCTCCTACAACAGATTTAAAAAGTACTTGGCACAGAATCCAGGTTCTAATGAATAATCAGGATGTGGTGCTAACTCACTTTATGAAGATGTTTATGATTTGCATGACATTTTTCCGAAGCACTTTTTCTTACAGCAGTACACAAGAGGTCATATCTGCTGTGTGAGGCAAGTCAGGGAACCAGCATTGATCTGTTTCTTCTATGCATCTACTCTCTGCCAAAGTTCAACAGTTATTATCTTGTTGGTTTCACTTATCCAATAAATACTTGAGGGTCTATTTTATTCCAGGCTGTTCTATGTACTGGGAATAAAGCAGTGAACAAAGGAGACAAAAATTCCTGCCTTTCACACAAGAATCACTCAATGACTCTTGAGGAGACAGACAGGAAGTATAAGTTCAGTGAATTTTTATGTCTACGATGTCTTAAAGTGCTTACAAATATTCACTCCTAACCTAAGGTACTATTATACTTAGCCCATTTTATGGATGACAACACTAGAGGACATAGGCATTGGAAATTACTTGCCCAAGGTCTCACATCTAAAAGATAGATTCAGGATTCAAAGTCTCAAGTCCTTGCTCTTAATTACTACTAACTCAAGGTGTGATAAATGCTCTAAAGAAAGTGAAACAAGGAGAAGGGGGGAAAGTGGGTGACAGGAGAATGTTCTTGTACAGCAGGGTCTCTCGGCAGAGAGCTGAAGGAGGGGAGGGAGAGATACATGCAGACATCTGGGAGGAGAGCAGGTACAAAGGTCCTGGGGCTGCAGGGTGTCACAGGGAGGCCTTGGAGGAAGAAGAGATGAGTCAGAGGGTGGCTCACGACAGTGTTTTGCTGAGAGGAGCAGGTTTGTGAGGAAGGTTAGGAGATGAATTTGGAGTAATCTCACCATCACTCAAGTGGGAAAGACTTGTTTCAGAGGTGTTAAGTAACTCCCCTCGGAGCCCAGCCCAGCAGTCCTGTTCAGGTCTGGGAACTCTTACTGCATTGCCTCCAGCATTTCCCTAGTTGGAGCTGTTAGATTCTGGTGGTCTGGAGTTTCTAAGGACAGAGAAATGAGGTAATGCAGAGTGTGGCAAGAGACGCACAGAGGACAGTGACTGAGGCCAGACGGAGGTCTCCCATGGGGATAAGCAGTGACTGTTTAAATGTGAAATGCAGCCGGGTTCGGTGGTGCGTGCCTGTAATCCCAGCACTCAGGAGGCTGAGACGGGAGGATCTCCGTGCATTTAAACCTAGCCTGGGTGCTTGTATAAGTGAATTCAAGGCTGGCTAAAAAAAAAAAAAGGAAATTCTGGGGAGGGAAATTCTTTGGGAAAGCAAAAAACATGGAAAAGTTTCAGGCCTGTGGGGTGGAGGATTTGGGGACAGCACTCTGACACTTGAAGGAGGCCATGCTTTGTTGGACATTGTATAGTTTGAATCTGAAACGTCTCCTAAAGGTCCATGTGTTAAGGGCTTGGTCCTCAGGATGGTGTTCTTGGGTGGGGATGGAAACTTAAGGGACACCAGATCTTTGGGTTACGGGTGGCTGTGCTTGAAGTGGGCTGTGGGATTCTGGCGCTCACGACATGAGTGGCCTTCGCTCTGCTTCACACTGCCACCATGATGTCGTGTCTTGCCAAATACCCCAAGCCTTGGGGCCCATTGATCATGAATGGGAACTTCAAAACTGTAAGGCAAAATATCTTCAGTATTTTGTTATAGTAACAAAAGACTAATCAAATGAGAAGGCCCCAGAAGCCCAGTATTCTATCTAGGCAAGACCTCCATCACAAGTTGCCCCCAAACTGATACATTTCCATTGTGATTACTCAATGTGCCCAAACCAGACATCTCCCCTGATCTAGTACATGTGACCACAGTCTCCTCAATACGCTGCTGCTAGGTGTGTCTAAACATGCCCCAACTAGATGTCCTCTTTCCCCTCTGCCTGCAATAGGATTCCAAGAAGCCAAGCCCGAGACTAGAGTCCATGTGTCCAAGGTGACTTCCTAGGAAGTGCTCCCAGGAGGAACTAAATGAGTGGGAGAAGCAGAATAAAAAAGGGTAAGAGGCCTCCAGGGGGCTGAGTGCAGACCAAGTCCCACAGACGGCCGCATCAGCCCAATCCTGCAGAGGGGCCCTGGAGTGCACGGCACCTCTTTTTTTTTTTTTTTTTTTTTTTTTTTTTTGTCTTTTTTGAGACAGGGTCACGCTGTGCAGTTCAGACTGGCCTTGAGCACACTTTGTAGCCCAGGCTGGTCTCGAACTCGAAACAACCCTCCTGCCTCAGCCTCCCAAGTACTGGGATTACAGGCATGAGCCACCACGCCCGGCTCGCACATTACATCTTTTTTTTTTTTTTTAATTTAAGGAGAAAAAGGAAAAAAACAGAAAAAGGGCACAAGTAATACAAAATTTTAAAAATGAACAGTAAGAAATCACTAGTTAATAGATTACATATTCTCATCTTAGAAATAGTTGTTCAAGTTACAAAATTGAAGCATATAAAGGGGACTTTCAAACAGTGAGACTGCAAACAGTTTTGTTCAGTGATCCAAAAAACACTCAGTAATATGGTTATCTATCTTCTCTACACTTAAACATATATGCAGTTATAACCTTTAGAGCACTTTCTTTTCTTTTGTACAATGACAATTGCACATTTTGGGTTTTATTACTCCCACAGTGCTTATTACTTTTTTTGAAGAGAGTAAAACCAAATGCGACATATCAGAACAGAGTCAGTCAAACCAAAAGGATGGACATAATAGATAATGTAAAAACAAAATACAAGGTGATCAACAATGGTTACCATACTGCCTCTTGCTATTTTAAGAAGAATTGGCAGCTATAATAAAACTGAACTAAACAGTAAAGAATAAAACCAAAGCATTGGAGACATTACAGGATTTTAAAAGAAAATAATAGTCAATCGGAATGGGCCCCATAGTGATTCCTATTGTCTTCACAGTTATGCCTATACTTTTGATTTTGGTACTATCAAGCAAAGCAGAATAGAGGAAA